TCTTAAGAACATTACAAATTCCATCAAGAAATTTGCAAGGGCGTTTTTCAAATTTGCAAAAGTAATGAGGAAAATTGAAATCAAGTTAGGAACTCAAAAAAGGAACGCTTGACGTAGTTTACCTGTAACAGGGGGTTGACGCCACAAAAATACTTCAAATCACTAATGTTGTTTTTGAAAAGTGTTGGCATTTTCCATCGCATTGTAGTTCAACAAAATTTGTTCGAGAATGTCCAATGCACACGAAGTTATCCAAATTGACCCTACCTGAATTATGAAACATTCGGAGTAGAAAACCCACTATAGATAAGAGCAGTTTTCAGCGCAAGTAAAATTTAAGTATAACCTATCGTACTGCCGTTACACTTGGATCATGTTTTGTATGTCGTATCTGCTCTTAGCTTGCAAGCTAGTATGGTCCCCAACTTAGCTCAAAATTAGCCCTCCCCCAGAATAAAACCCATTTTGCTACAACTTATTGATCAGGGGCTACCTTAGCACAGTCTCGGAGAAAGAACATTTTGCCTCTGCGAAAGATTCTCGTTGTGGAATCGATCGTGACACCGACGTTAAACACAGTCGTGAAAATATTTACCATTGCATGCGCTAATAAATATTCCTTATTTGTAAATTGATAGGATGTAAAAATGCTACGGCTCTTGGTATGGAAAGTGGTAAAATTCGTGATAATCATATCACAGCATCCAGTGAATATAACATAGGACACAGGGCACCTAATGGTAGACTGAACTTCATGGCAAACGGCGGGAGAACGGGGGCATGGTCATCGAGAAGAAATGATCGCAATCAATGGTTGCAAGTGGATTTTCAACGATCTATCATCATTACAGGAATAAGTACTCAAGGACGAGAGAATTGCTGTGTGCAATTTGTCAAACGCTACACGATATCTTTCGGCGACAATGGAATACAATTCCATAGTTATAAACCAAAGGGAATACTTAAAGTAAGCTGAATAACGGTCTTCCTTTTATACATATGAAATTTCACTATGTCTTTTTTACTCTTGTTTTAATTTTAGGTATTCGGGGGAAACAGTGACCGCAAATCTATTGTGAATAATAATTTTACACCTTTAATTGTGGCACGATTCATTCGCGTTCATGCAACAGAATGGAATCAGCATATTTCTATGAGGGCAGAGTTTTATGGTTGCTCTTTCTGATGATCTTTGGTGCTGGTATCTTGTACATAGCGGATGTTCCAAAGAGTATTGCTGTTATATATCGCAGAAATTTCACCCAATTTTAAAAATAACTTTTACCGTTTCCAGAATTCTGATAGGTTACAGTAAGAAATTTGTGCTGTGTTACATAAACTTTCAAAGTTCTAAATCAAACAAGTATTTTTTACAATGCTAAAAATCACCATGAAGTGGAATATTAAATACTTTCTAGTTGAGCATGTTATAATACAGTATATATATATATATATATATATCTCATCAGCACTACACTGATGAGGCCCATTAGGCCGAAACGGCACCGTCTGTAGTTAGATATCGCTCTATGGCCTTTAGGTCATATTGAGCGCTCTACAGGATGAGCCATGCCGCTTACGCATTGCGCACGCTCACTGCTTGCAGTTTGAGCGCTCTGGCATGGTTTTGATGTCCCACAATCGTGAGGCATCAAAGGTAACTATAAATAAGAGTTACTTTCATCCTGCCCATCAGCACTACACTGATGAGGCCCATTAGGCCGAAACGGTACCGTCTGTAGTTAGATATCGCTCTATGGCCTTTAGGTCATATTGAGCGCTCTACAGGATGAGCCATGCCGCTTACGCATTGCGCACGCTCACTGCTTGCAGTTTGAGCGCTCTGGCATGTTTTTGATGTCCCACAATCGTGAGGCATCAAAGGTAACTATAAATAAGAGTTACTTTCATCCTGCTCATCAGCACTACACTGATGAGGCCCATTAGGCCGAAACGGCGGTACCGTCTGTAGTTATATATATATATATATATATATATATATATATATATATATATATATATATATATATATATATATATATATATATATATATATATATATATATATATATATATATATATATATAGACAAGTATCGTGTTTTGAATCATGTATGAGTAGAGTGCTCAATACCGTAGTAGAGCTGATAGGATTAGAAGACAAACTTGAATTACTTCATATGAACTTTATTTCACTACAAATTTGTTTCGTTTGACAAGACAAGTCTTGCCACACTCATCAGGTGAATTTAAATATATATATATATATATATATATATATATATATATATATATATATATATATATATATATATATATATATATATATATATATATATATATATATATATATATATATATAAATATATATAGCTTAAGATTTGGTTTACGAAACACAAACAGTGCTCAATACCATATAGATAGAGCGTAATATAGTTTTTCGTTTTACCTCAAAAAACCACAACAGTCTGTTTCATCCGTATAGGAATCATCAGGTGGTGATCACCACCTGATGATTCCTATACGGATGAAACAGACTGTTGTGGTTTTTTGAGGTAAAACGAAAAACTATATATATATATATATATATATATATATATATATATATATATATATATATATATATATATATATATATATATATATATATATGAAAGCGTTATGGTTGCCATGCCTGGTTTCAATGTGAATGGTGTTTTAAAAATAAAACAAGAACTTCCTCAGGCATAAAAAGGTATAATGACTATAACCCAGACGTTTCGCCGGTTAAGGCTTCTTCAGTGGGTGAAAAATTTTACAACAATATTAAGGCGTCTTTTATATATGTCGTCCTAATTAGAATTGTATATAATTAAGTATGATGAGTGAATGTGTCTAATTATTTGAATTTAAAAGTCTAAAGAGTTACTAGTAAAAAATGTTAAAAATCTAAATCAGTCTAATTGTTTGAATTCTAAACGTATATACAGTTGATGATGAAAATGTTAAAATATTCATAATTATAATCCCAAATGTTAGATTGTTATTGTTCTACCAGTACAACCATTCATTAAATCGCCTGTATGCTTCTGTATTTCCATCGCCTCAATGCGTTTACGCTCGTCTTCATACACAAGGTTTCCATATATAATCCTCCATTCAATGTCTTTATTTCCAGGTATCTGATCCTTTCTCTTGTGGGACATCAAATGTTTATATACTGTTTGGTGTTTCATCGTCAGGTGTTCTTTGATGCGTGTTCCTATTGTCCTACCCGTTTCTCCTATATATAATGCCTCGCAGTATGAGCGCTTAATTTTATAAACTACATTCTTGTTGAGACATTTATCGACTTTATTGGTACATTTACATGTTTCACAAGCTTTAGAGCAATGTGTCCGTTCTCTGGGTGGAGCAAATACTCTACGTGACGATTTTCCGTTCATAAATTGAATTCTGACATTGTCTATTCCCGATCGTTTTACCACTGCAAGGGCACGCCGTTTAAATTCTTTATTAATGAAGGTAATGTAATTTCATCCTCTCTGGTTGATTTGTTATTTAAAGTGTTTCTAATTGTGGTTTTAACAAATTTCTTAGGATACCCATTATTAACAAAAAGATCTGTAAGTTGACGCAATGATTCTCTACGTGAATTGGAATCGGTTGAACATGTAACTGCCCGCTTGGTTTCGCCAATGAGAATTGTGCGCTTAGCAGCGATAGGTCCGTGACTGTCCCAGGGTGTGCTACAACGACTGTGTATAGGCTTAATGTAAAGCTTGATGGAAACAGTTTTACTCTCCGGATTAAAGGAAACAATTGTGTCTAAGAAGGGTAATTGGTTTTGGTTGGGTAGTTCTAAGGTGAAGTTTATATATATATATATACATATATATATATATATATATATATATATATATATATATATATATATATATATATATATATATATATATATATATATATATATATATATATAAAATAACTTTTTAATAACGCTTGCGCCGATTGGTTGAAAAGCGAAAAATCCCGTGTTTCTATAACGCTATAGAACACGGGAATTTTCCACGAACCTCGCCTCGAACCTCAAAACAACACACTAAAACAAACATTTTCGCCTGAAATATCGATTAAAAATCTTCGTCAGCCTGAAATTTTGTTAAACAAGCAATGAAAAACACTTACCAAACGTTTTTTCGCTTTAAATTTTCTTTAAATCAACTTTTTCAGCGTGTTTTTTTCTCCATAATTTTGCAGTCGGCAAAACTGAAAATTGATGCCGGTATTGTTGCTAGACAACATTTTCTTGTTATTGTGTAATGAGAATATACTTTTTAATCGCGTTAAAAATATTGTTTTTGTGTTAATATCACAAGGTTATTGAATTTAATTTAATTTTAAAGGAAATAGAAAACATTTTTTCCTGTGTTTCTATAGAGTTATAGAAACACTTGTGCTAGTTTGGGAGAACTCGAAATAACGTGGAAACACTCGCACTACGTGCTCGTTTTCCCACTGATTATTTCTCGTTCTCCCAAACTAGCACGCGTGTTACTATAACTCTATAGAAACACAGGAAAATATTTTATATATATATATATATATATATATATATATATATATATATCTGGAGCGAGAACTCGATTCCAAAAAGTGAAGCCAGCTTTGTGTTAACCGCGCAGACAAAAGCGGTAGAAAGGGACTGGAACTGACGTCCAATCAGTGAAATGAATATAGTTATACTTAGTTCACTGCGTCCAATAGCTCCTTCGGTTTCCGCCGTCTTCTTTCCGAGGCGTGGGCCGAGATTTCGTATTTTGACTTCCGTTTGAGGACTGGTATTATGATTTTTAAACTGAAAAGTTGACTAGCGATACGGGTGCGTTAGAAAAAAACGGGGGGAAATGGTATAAAAACTGTTTACGAACTTCGGAGCTATTAGACGTCAATGGTCGCCATCTTGGTTTCAATGAAGATCTTTCTCCAGTTATATATATAGATCACTGTATTGTTGTCGGATTAGATATAGGTATTTTGACCCAAGTAGCGACCAGAACAAAGATTACCTGTACCTTCCAGTTTTTGGACCCAAATTGTATGAGTAGTGCTTTGAAATCGATCTCGGATGTGACAAATATATTTTCCAAAACTTGTTTGGTCTTTCACTGTTACGACAAGTAATGAACTGCGGTGGGGCTTTTTAGTTTCCACGAAACTTTCCAGTGGCTTCTGGTCTTTTGCCCAGGTGAAAGTAATTGGAGGTTCACCTTGAGCAGAACACAGTAGGTTGACAAGATCACCTTCCTTTGCCTTTGTGTCACCACTGGATATCTTGGTCAATACACCACCTGCATGGGAAACAGAAAATATATTTTATATCGTAGAAATGTGCTACCATTGTTTTCTACGAATAATGAATTTCGCCAGGACCAACCTTTACTCGTGATTTTACCGCCTAATTCCAAATCATCTATGAATACAGTTAAATTATTTCCCGGTATGTACCTGCATACTCATTCGTTTGTGAAGCCGAACTCCAGTCTGTGGAGTAATATTCACTCTATAGTAAGAAAGGTGATGGTTTTTATCTGTCTAGTCATAGCTATACAAATGACTTGATCACGTGTTCTCCGAATTGTGTGGGCTAATTTTTATTCCTGATATGTTAGGGCATCTATGTGAAAATTCTTGCAAACGTTTCTGCTTTAAGTACCTGGGTAGTTTAAGTATATTATCCTGGTTACTGTCAGAAGATTTCATTTTTGAGAAATTAGACAAGGAAAGCTTAACTTCTAAAGTGTGATAACCAACAATTACCATACCTTGTTATTAATAAAAATCCTTTGGAAAATACTGTAACTACTATCAGGTTCCAACGGACCATTATAGTAATCACTTGAGGTTGATCTGCGTATTAGTAATGTTGGATCACTTGTATTTCTGCCATCACCAAGTATAAACATGTTTTCATCAACTTCGCTGGATGCAACAACTGCAGCAATATAAGGTTTCGGATTGGTTGATTTCCTTGGCTCGGCATACGTCACTAACTCACTGTTCTCGTAACTGTCAGATGATGTAGGTTCCTTGCCATCTTTTAATTTCAAAGCCACCACGTAGAAATAACTAGTCCAAAAGATACCTTCTTAATACACATGTAACAAGCGTTAATAATAGATCCAAATAGTTTCCTAACATCTAAGATGATTTTCAACGGAAGCTCACTTTCTATTTGGTCATGACGATGGCGTCAATGTGGCGATGTAACAGAGTGTCGACTTATGTCGAATATGAAAATTAAAAATGATTTGCATACAGTACACATAAAGCAAAATATAGAGTCCAGACTCAGTATAGTTATAGAGTACAGATTCAGTATCGATAGAGTACAGATTCAGTATCGATAAACTTACAGAAACGTTTTTGATGGAATTTCAAATGAAAATGTGAGCGTACTTGATGTCATATCTGTGGTCTTTGGTGCTCCTGGAGGAAAATGTAATAATATTATATTAATGAGTAAAATGTCTTGCTAGAACGAGAGGCCTTGTCTAGAGTTTTTGAACAGCAAAAAAGTACTAGGTAAACATGAAATTCTGAACAGATTTCTTCACCACAGATAATATCCAAATATACATGTTGTACTTACGGAAGTTCGTAAAAAATCCTTTACTTCCACTGTAAGCACTACTTCCTACTTTATTACTGGCAAGAACACGAACATAATATTTGGTTGATGCTTTCAAATTTCTGACAACCCATTCTTTTTCAATTGTGGTATATATTTTGAAGCAAGGGCCATTTTCTGAATGTGAAACACACGCAGTATAAGTGATAATGACGCCATTTTGTTTATCTTTCTCAGGAGGATCCCAGGTAAAAGCCAATGATGATGTACTTCTTGATGAGGTTTTGATGTTCAATGGAGGACCGCTTGGAGCTAAACGATGAAACTGAGGTTTGTATTTAAATGTAAAATAAGTCAGACGCTTTGAATAATTATACAGTGAGCCACATTAGATGAGCTCTGATTTAGTTTTCTGGGTTTTCTTGCTGTTCTTTATTGCAGTTGGCAAAAAACGTTTTGGAGAACAAACACTTACCTTCTTCAGATGTGAGGAACGAAGTAGTGGTCTTTTCACCAAAACCATGTTTATTTCGAGCTGCGACTGATATTTCATATTTAGTGTATGAAGTGAGATTATCTAAATCGTATTGCATGACTTTATCTGTGGTAGTATTCACGATTAGGGAGGTCTTTTTTTTCAATTTAATCCAAAATCCTGTAAGATCTCCATCTCCTGTGTTCTCTGGATCTAGCCAAGATATTTCAGCACTTCTTGATGTGATGTTAGCAACCGCGAGGTTTGTAGGCTTATCTGGGAACAGGGCTAGAAAGAAAGGGATTATAGTAAAGTAACATTTTCATTTGTTTGTGCTAGGATACATGTGCTGTGGACACATTGATCATAAAAAATAACTGATAAATTGTTAATTTGTCCTCTTTAACGCCAAAAGAAAAATAACTTACTAGCTCCACAGATCTGGATTCTCGTACACGGTTCACCTACATATGTTAATGGAATAAACCGTAAAGCTCTTGTTGTTATGCCTTCAGGGAAATATTGTATAGCTGCATCATTGTAAGCGTTTTTGTTTCCTTGAAATATCTAAAGACCAAAAATATTTCTTTTCTTTAAGTTATGTTATATTATACCGTTATGTCCCGCTACAAACGTATATATTATCAAATGAGTGTAAACCGAAAAATAATAAACAGCAATTACTCTTTTGTTCCATACTGATTTCCAATTTATCAAATCAACAGTGAAGTCCAAGTTATATGTAGCCACCCACTTGGAACTGGTACTATCTCCAAATATTGCAAGATAATACAAAACATAAAGTGTTCTAAAGTCCATTTGAAGATAATGTTTGCCATCCGAGACAGGAGCACACCAAGAACTGCCACTAGATATTTTTGCATCAGAGGGACTGTGACTTTCTGAGGAAGCTGAGGTAGTGAATGACGAATCTGGAAATCTTTGTTTGTCTCCTAGCAGGGGCCGTGGACAAATATGACCTAAAATATGGAAATTAAATGTCTTACAAACTTTGTTTTATCTCCTACATTCATATTTTTCAAACATTAATCACATGATCGAGGTCCTCCTTTTTTGTAAAAACTCACAATTTAAATATGATAAATTCGAACAACTTTGGGAAGAATTGGTAACCGTTGAACATTGAAATAATTTTATATCACCATCATCACACGCTATACTTCCAGAAAATATTTCATCTTTTAAATCCGATGGAGCGACCTTTGCAACGAGTGAGTTTGCTTTTTTGTAACCCAATTGACGACAAACAACATCCTTTGCGTTTCCTAAACTTTGCCAACATACATTCTTGATCCCACTGTCAGTTTTAATTTTTACAAAACCTTCATTCGGTAGAGATGAATATGATAAAAACACAGCATCAACTACAGAAGGAAAACAAGAAAAATTTTGGGCAAGTCTTCACAGTTTATGTGGTTTGGTAACCTGTGAATTTCGGCAAAAAATTTGCTTTTTGGCGATTTTTTAAAAGTTAAGAAAAATATGTGCAGTGTGAAACAATTGATAAACAAGCGAAGATTAATGTGCTGGTGGTTTACGGTAAATTGATTTATGCCATTGGGTGGTCGCCATTGATTATCTTCGCATTTACAATAGAAGTAGAAATGTTCAGATTTGACTTGCACTACCGTTATCATTAACCAATCAGATACGTTTAATCTACACGAGTCAAATGTGCATTAAGCCACTGAAGGTAGCAGTAGTGGAAGTCAAATCTGAATCTCTCTATTGTCATTTACAATGGAACTTCAGATTTGACTTCCACAATACCGTTACCATCAACCAATCAGATGCATTTAATCTACCCGATTAACCAATCAAATTCGTATAAAGCCACTGACAGATAGCAGTAGCGGATGTCAAATCTGAACATCTCTAATGTCATTAGCCATACATACCACAAAGATTAGTAAAAGACGTCGTTGTATCATTACATTGATATTCAAAGTAAAGATATTTTGTCAATCCAGGACATGGATCACCAGAGAACAAGGTTTCATTGACAGGTATATTACACTCATGTTGACCATCACATTGTTTCTTAACAAGACATGTTACATCAACTTCACAACTATAATCATCACTCAAACCACATGTCTTTGTGTCAGACAATCCACGGTACGATGCATTCTTGACCACCATATACTGATCTTTAGGACAGTTGGCATTCTCTACCATATCTCCATAGCACGTCACTGATCCTAGAACAGAACGAAAATTTAGAAATTAAATGACGAGCACTAATTATAAATGACAGTAACAAGTAGGGCAAGAGATTTTGTTGAACGGCATAGCGATGTACACAAAATGCAAAACACCATTGCTGGACATGATATACAGAAATTCAGCATTATATGAAATATTTGGAACAACATGCATAGAGTCTTTATTGCGATTTCTTTGAAAAGAAAAATCTAAAATCTAAATATACGTGGAGTTTAAAAAGGCTCTGTCTTCGGACCGCTACGTTTTATTTTCTTCATCGATGACATAAAATATATACAGTTTTTGCTTTTATGGTCAAAGTTAATAAGGCGTCAGCAGTTCCCGAGATAATCGAATCATTCTTATATGTATGAAGAAGGTATAAAGCTTTTACTATATACAGCTAAGTCTTAACACAAGTGGTTTGCGTCTAGCCTCTAGGCTAGCTTAGCGGCAATGGTTGGTGAGAAATTTAAAGAGTAAATATGAAATTCAGACTGCAAAATCACAAATAAGAATGTGCAAAGACATCAAACCAATTAACTGCATACAAATAAAAACAACTTACTGTACCAAAATTAAAACGTTTATCCTCTGCATCGGTACAATTTGTCAATCCTATGTAGGGATCTATTCCTTGACTTGTAGCAAGTCGATCATCTGTTTCAGGGACTGCACAATGCGTTTGAGAATTATAGTATACAGATAAACCTCCCCAAGAGGTCTGGGTTATAGCATGGTCCTGACGACAATTAGCTGAAAGGTTTGTAGCAAGAAACATATACAACATAGGAAGATTATAACCATGACGATTTCTATGTGTTGCCTCGAAACACCCCTTTCTTTCCAAATTGAACATGGCACTATTATCAAGAAACCGAGACTGAGCAGCTGGATTCTGACAATTGTTGGAAAGTTCCACAAAAGATAAGATTCCCCAAGACTCGTTCGCCTCTAAGAGTCTTGTGTCATTTATACACATCCCTGTTTGTACATGTTTCACAAAGAAACAAACAGCGCCTGAAACAAAAAATAACAAGACGCTCTAGGGAGCGTTAACTCGCTGGGCTATACAAATACGCACATTACTGACTGTACATGATACATACAGTACACAGCTATTTCATTAAAGGTTTCCCCCGAGCTAAGCGGAGAAGTCGAATACGAGCGCGAAAGGCTTAACACAGTACTAAAATGCAGTAGACCCTTCAAGTAAAGTTATATTTAGAGTGTCAGTCGCCAGTTGGTCCGTACGCATGGATAAGGGGGAACTTAACCTGAAATCAAAGTGTTTTTTCAATATTTCATAAAAATGAAAGTTCAGATGCAAACTACATAAAAGTATATATTTTTAGAAAGCTTATGCATCAGAGAATTTGCCTAGCAACACAGTTTTGTAATATAGTTAATATTAAACCTGGTATAGCAGAGGATTTGTAATCTGACACCGGCTATACCATATCTTACTTGAGAAAGGATATAACAGCACAGATAATATAAAATAAAATTCTTTTTACAGAAATATGAACAACAATGATTGGTAGTGGGGATGTACATAGAACTTTTTGAAATATTTAATACTTTAAAAGTTATGCAATGCTAAATTTCATGAATATTTTAAGCATTTTTTTCATAATATTAATATTATCATTTTTAAATCCCAATCTATCTATCTTTAGAAAAAGTTCTATGTACATCCCCCAGAGCTCTATGAAAGCACTTAGTGTTGAAAATTTCAGGCAAATTGGTCAAATAGAACTTGAGATATCCTTTCTCAACCGCATGAAAAGTTGATTTTGAGAAAAATTGAGTTAAAGTCGAAGAAATTGAAATTTACTATGCAGTACTGACATGAACATTCTAGAATGTAATTAAAATGTGGAAACTTGCAGTTTGTTCATATCTTGACTACCTAGAAGCCTCCTGCTTCACAAGTAACACCCTCGGCCTCCCAAAGTGCCTCTTCACGCATCACTTTTCTCTGTTTGATTGCTTGCCGACGCTTCTTTTCTTTCTCTGTGGCCTGTCGATCTGCCTTTCTTACTTTCCTTTTATCCTTTTTGGCTGATGACATTTTTGTGAACTTTCCTCCAGAAATAGAAAGTCTGTCCATTATTCTTAATCTAGAGGAAGCTCCACTATGAAAGTGACATACAGCAGATGCCACCGCACAACGAACAACCTTAATACCATGGTGTTTGTTTTTTGGACACCGTGCCCAAACCATGGAGTTGATGCTTTCATTCCGATTTTGGATGGCACCTCTCACACATCTTTCAAGAAGGCTGATATCACTTAATGTGGTAAATGTGGGACGTAGCAATTCGTAAAAAACTTCAGGCAAACAGTCATTCTTCTTGAAGCTGTTTGTTCCTGACGCGACATCCTGTTGCCATTTGCACCACGAGGTTTCTCCTTTTGGACAAAAGCGATGTTGTTTTGCTGGATCTCTCGATTCAGTGCAGTGGTGAAAATAACAATTATATTCTTCTTCATACTATAGACTGCAACTTCAACTTCCCTTTGTGTTGGATTGGGCTTCTTTAGGGTATTCTGGCGAATTGCAAGTCTATAATACTTCTGGATTTTCTTTATCTTTGCTTCCGACAAACGGCCTTTTCCACCAATTGATTTTCCATCTGCGAGTTTGCCTTTAGTGGTTGCCTTCAAATTCAACAAGTGTTTTCCCATCCGTTTTTGGACATGGCCAACACAGTCCAGTTTTTCCACTTTGCAGTCAGTGTATGTATTTTCAACAGCACTGTGTGCCTTAATGTCCCCATCCGATACCATCCATCTATACCGCAATTTATGAAGCTCAATTGACCTGCTCCATAACACTTTGGCGCCCTCTGCTTCCATTGCTGGGTGAGCTGCCACTAAAATTACTGTCACACTGATTTGATGCCTGATGTTCACCCTGCCACACTTCGAATTCTTCATCATCACTACACTTACTTTTCTTCATCACACAGTTTCGACACTTTTTTGAGAGGACATGGTAGTCTAGAACTTCCCCTGTGTCCAATGCGATAACAAAAACCACTCCGATTAAGGATGTAAATCCCCGCTTCGCCCAAGTACCGTCAAAAGAAACAGCTATATCCACAACAGTGTCATCATTAGCTTGCTCTCTGTTTTCTTTTGAGATGAAGTCCTGAACCCTTTGACTTGCTGTTGTATCCAAATGCTGATTGGTCAGCTGAAGTGATTGACATATAAGATTAGGTCACGAGACATTAGATTAGGAGACGCTAAGCCAGAGAGCAAGTATACATGTATAATATAGCAGAGTAAATATTTGTTATAAAAGTTGAATAACGGAGAATATAAAAGTCGCGACGAGGTCCGAAAAACCCTAAATCTATATTATGGATACCGAAGGTCAAGATATCAATGCTGAAAACGCATCATCATCAACAACGTCAAACGCTACAAACGCGACAACAACATCGCAAGTTCCACGCAGTGGTTTACCGCCGTTTCCTCCCTTTAATCCATACCAAGATACAGCAACAGTGGGTCAACGATGGACTAAATGGGTTCGACGTTTCGAAAACTTGCTTATACGTCTTCGTGCGTTTGATTTCACCCAACACTTCGTGCCACAAGGAAATACAGACATGGCTATATTCGATTTTCGAGAGCTAAAGCAAGGATCCAACGAAACGCTCAACGAATACTACCGTCGACTGAAGACAAAAGCAGTACAATGTAATTTTCACAGCGAGGAAGCCGAGATTAAAACCCAAATTATTCACAAAACCCGCGATTCCCGGTTAAGAAAGAAAGCGCTTCGTGAGACGATGACTCTCAAACAAATTCTCGACTACGGGAATACCTTAGAACGTACAGATGAACAGTCTAAACGCCTCGATAACGCCAGCAAATTCCAAAGCGAAAGTAACGAAACGGTAAATTATAATTACAATGAAAAGAATTCAAAACAACATCGAAAATTTCCAACTTCCGGTGGATCAAATTCCAGATACAGGACGCCCAAGAAGCCTGATTCGCGTTTTCAAGGAAATAAATATCAGAAAGAAGCTCCAGATAGCGGTCGAAAGTCCCAAACCTGTCGTAGCTGTGGAGGTAAATTCCCGCACAAAGACGGAATAGAGTCCTGCCCAGCTAGAGGTAAACTTTGCCACAACTGCAAGAAAATCGGTCATTTTGCAAAATATTGCAGATCTCAATCTAAGGACAGTGGAAATGTCAGACATGTCAACCAAGAGAAAAGTTGTGATTATCTTCAAGACTCGGACGATGAATTTCTTTTTACTGTCAACACAAGCTCGGGTAAACATCCAGAAACGCAAGT